GAAAAATTAGTGAAAACTGAAGCGAATGAACTGTAGCCAGCCCATCAATGCGCAATACGCGCTGTGACTCGTTCGCTGACCAGTATCTATCTGTGCCGGCGTATCCAACTAACGAAGGACAAGCTGCTAGGGCCCAAGGGTTCACCAAAGCACAAGAGCATAAATTCCGTTTGACTGATACAATTTCGTTTGCTGCTACTTGCGAGAGGTTTTTTTTATTCAGCCTTGTCGACAGTTTCTCCAATTTTTTCATTGCTGGCATTACTCCCAATAATAGTTCAGAGTTTTCGAAGTGTGCCGCCCACGCTCACAAGGCTTGCTACTATGTAGATAATATACCTTGAATAGAAATGCCTTTTTAGGATGTCTTCGACTGTTTAATTGATTTCTTTGCGGTGGACCACTTATCATCCGCACTTGCCATCTTTATCCCGTTATCCACAATTTTGTTTTCGATTTCCACTACCACCTTCTGCAGGAGCAAATCGTTTATTCGAACATATACCTCATAAGTATCACTGTGGAAAGAAACGTAAGTTGCTTTATGGAGCAAGCCTCTGCACTATCATACCTTTTATCAAACCAGTTTAGTTTTCTCCTAATAATTGAATCCAAGGCATGTCAGCTCCAGTCTTTTCTCAGCATTATGAAGTGAATATCGGCATGCTTCTTCTGTTCCACATGTATCTCTTTGCCCAGTGTTGATTTGATGCTCACGAAGAAGGCATGTTTACCTGTGCTGAGCACCTAAATAAGATCGCTAGACCACCAAAAGGCTCTCAATTTGCTTTGAATTGGGCTTAACGTTGTCTTCCTTGACACCGGACTGTAGGCAAAATAAGTCCTAGTTGGTGATCCAATGCATAGCAAAGCGAAAGTAGTCACCCGATTCGTTCCCACTGAGGCTCACATTTTCGTAGTTTATCTGTACTATAAATTGCCTCAGGCCTTTGCGAGGCGATCATATTTAGAAATCCCACCCAGAGCACGGTACTGTTGAAAAACTGAAATGAGCAATATTCTTCAACGAAAAACAACATCGCAAGGAAACCGAGCTGGGACAAACACTTTGCCTCGGCAGGAGCTCGAACCTAGATGAGATGTTATAATTCAAATCAGAACTACGGCTAACTATACTACTATACAACTGGAAACTGTTCTACTGAGCTGAGGTGAAACATAGCCTTGAACTAGCTAGTACTGTTTAACTATGAACTTGGAAAGCACTAGTACATACGATTTATGGACGGCTGAGCTAGATGCTTTCCCATAATTCTTCGTATTGATAACGTCAGAATTGCAAACTCAAAAGAAGTAGCCAACAAAGCGAAATCAAAATCAAATAAAACTGTAAAAAGTATATGTCGAGAAAAACACTTGATTACAAACCCGACATGCTCGAATATTTTCGGCAATTTGATAGCGTTCACCAAGAGAATAAGCCCGAATGCCTCGTTTCTGACTCATTGCTTCCAAATAATAGCGCTCATTCAACTTGTAGTTCAATCTGTTCGCCTAAAAAATTTGAATTTCTTGTTGAAACTACGGCTGACGATTGTCGCACTTCACAGTGACAGTGTCAGAATTCATTGATTGATTTACAATATTTTCAATTATTATATTATTCCGGATCATATCGCAATAATATAGTAAGCGCAAGTGTAATAATAATATACATATAAATAACAAATGAGCAATAACACAATATATATAAATAAAATAACAAACGCATATATATAATTACAAATGATTGATAAATAATAAACAAATAAACAATAGTATAATAGTCGATAGTTTCGGAGTTTCGGCAAGCGCCTATGACCCCACGGTGGCGAAGGGCATCATAGCCGGCTGATGCAGGT